GCAAAAACTGCGGGGAACTCTGCAAAAAACGCATCCTCGCACGGGCAGCCCGTGCGTTGGCCATTAATTTAAGGTTGTGAAGACTCCCCAACATCCAACGTTGCCGAGCGAACAAAAATGCCCGGTGTAATTTCATTGTGGAGTAGCAGTCAATTCCCATAAAAACTAAAAAACAGATTTAAAAAAAACTTTTACTTTTAGAAATGGGGAGGGGGGAAAGACGACGAAAGAGAAACGTCAAGGCAGTTTGTCGGCTTTCATCAGCTGCACAGTGTTATTAGCCAGTTGCGACAACGTAAGTTAATTTCCAGAAATAAAGAAGAAACATCAATAAGCAACGAGCAAAACTGACAGAAAATTACAAGCGAAAACCAATTCTTGTTGAAGACAATGCCCTAAATACTGTTTCGTCGCCTCGAGTTAAATACACTTGTACTACCATTCATCCCAGTTTTGTTGAAACTATTTGTCATTTTACGGGAACGAAGTCTGAATTAAGCCCAGTATGAAGAATGTGTTCGCAACAGAAGACTTCCTTTGCAGACTTATTTTCCATTCTGTAATTCTCCTCTGATTTTTGTCCCAACGAAAAGGTAATTGGTGTGAACGAAAACAGCTAGTTTTGGAAGACGAATACACCTTCGCTTCTTTGTAAGAATGTAGACGATTTCGCTTCGAATTGCCTCCACTGCCTTTCGGCAATTTTATTGAAATAAGAATTCATTACGCAATATAGTACTCCATGAATTTCACGATTCTCTGGTCTCTGTCACTTTGGATTCTTAGTACAGAGTCCAATATATCTTACTCAATCCTTGCTTCAAATCCTAACATTCAGAGCCACTGTGTGCTATAACGCTGCATCAATTCCCACGTAAGAACGTTCAGTATCAGTCACTGAAGATGGACAGACTGACAAAATCTAATTGTAGTTCTGCTGATACGGAGAGCCAGTGTCCCAATTCATGGGAATAGTATGTAGCAGGAGGTAATTTTATTCGTTACCTATCTTCTGACAGTGAAGCCAAAACTTTTAACTCCGTGACTGCCCCCGCTTGGCACTGGCATTTCTCCGTTTTGTAAGTAGCCCCACTTCGCGTCTGATCTCGTTGAACAGCTAAGATATCGGAATCCATGCAAAAAAAAAAAAAAAGAAAAGAAAAAAACGGCCTCTGTTTGAACACTGTTGAGTATTCGAAAGTCAAATAAATTTGTCATTTAAATAATAAAGCAGTGACGGCTGGTTTGCTGATGATCCTAGAGTCCTCGATTTTTCCTTCCCGGGGGGGGGGGGGGG